ACTCAACCAAAATCATATACATACACTCAACTTTCACAAAAACTCCAAATCAATCACTCAGCTTACAGATGTTGCAAATATGAACTACGTAGTTAGGGGGCTGGAGATTAAATTTTCGGCATTAATCTTTTGAGGCAAAGAAATTTTTTTGAATTACATTAGTACATCACTATTCTATCCCTCAAGTGAAGAAAACAAAAACTACAACCCAAAAATATCTCTTCTAATATTGGAGTACATATTTAGCATTTTACAAAAATCATTATATTATATATTTAAGATTTATAATTGCAACCAAAAAACTATTTTTAATATAGTGTTAATTAATTGTTTAATCATGTCATACAATTTAGTACCTTTCCTTTGTTAACCGTTTAGAGCGAGCGGGTTGCAATTAGGGATGACAACGGGTCGGATCTGGACCGGGTCCGGATGGACCCGGATCCAGATCCGTTTTTGTATGTAGGATCCAGATCCGACCCGGATCCGTCGGGTCTAGAAAATGAAGACCCGGATCCAGATTCGTCGGGTCCAACGGATCCGGGTCCGGGTCCAATATATTTTGCCTAATTTTTTGCAAAAATGTAATTTTCGAGTCAAAAAATGTAATTTTCAAACTTACGTTGTTGGTTATTAAGTTCAACCCAAAATTAACCAACTTATACACTCATATTTTGAATTAAAATTAAAAACAACAAAAAAATACGATGTTACATATGAGCTAGTGAAAAAAGAACGATGTATATATATAATATGAACATCCAAAATTCATCTCTTGAAAGGGTTAATCTTTATCATTACTAATATTATCAACACTTTAAATAAAGAAACAAACAATTTTAGTTTTTTTTAATAGGAAAAATAAAAAAACGGGTCCACAGATCTGGATCCGGGTCTAGGGCCTAGACCCATATCCAGATCCGTTTTTGTCAGCAGGACCCAGATCCGACCCAAATCCGTGAAAAACGGATCTGAATCCGCGGATCTGGGTCGGGTCCAAATCCATTGCCATCCCTAGTTGCAACTTGGTTGTATGTATAACCTATCATGTATATTCACTTTTTGAGAATTGAATAATTCATTTCCAATTTTTGTGAAATTTGAGTGACTTTTATGTTAGCATTGCGTATCCATTGTAATACCTTACATTGATAATAAAAAAATAAAAAAATAAAAAAAATTGATAAATTAAATTAATTATTTATAAATACTACGTATGTATTAAGAGAGAAATTATTTTTCCATATTATATAGGCACAAATGTACTCGTATTTAATTTTGTTTCTACTCAAGTAGGGTTATTTTTTATGAAAAGTTTTAAATAAACAAGTTTTTAAAATTTTTAACCAAGAATAACAAAATAATTTACTTTATTAATACTTCCTCCGTCTCAAATTACTCGCAACGTTTTGACTTTTTGCACTATTCACACATCTCACTTTGACTATTTTTTTAGTTATTATATGAAAGCGAATGTAATCATGTAAGATATTGTTGGATCTATATTTTAATATATAGTTTGTCAATATAAACATGTTATAACTTTTATAAATATATAATAAAAAGATATGGACGGTCACCCACCCAGTTAACTTTTACAATATATGGAGTATTGATAATGGATTTTTTGATAATCTATTAACAGTTAACACTCACCCACCCAGTATTATCAAACAAGTCCAAAAACTCCGATTCAGTTCTAACAAAGAAAATGCGTTACCTGACTACTGACAACACTTGGAAAATTATTTACCGATAACTAACCGTGGCAATGTAATCAGCAAAGTTTGCCCCAACCCATTTTGTTTGGATAATTTGTAAATGCTTGGCCCAATTTTCCTTACAAATTACAAATTAATGTTTTGACAATTGTCAATGGCTCAAATTTCCCTAATAATTATGTCCATCCCTTCTTTTAGTTGCTTTTGTCAAAATAAATAAATAAATAAATTATGTCCATCCCATGGGTTTGAAGGTTGGATTTGGATTCGACTCGAATCCAAATCCAACCTTATACATCTAGACCTAAAGCAACAATGAGATCGAAAATAGAAATGGATCAATCAGGGTTGGATACCGGCAATTGAAATGGATCTATCCTTGAGCATCGCGGTTACAAAAATAAAAGGGCGAAATCTAGTGGCTTGAGAGATGGCCGCGCTTATGCTCTCAAGAGTGTAAATTTGATCATTTGGTTGGATACCGGCAATTGCAAGGGCTTGGAAGATATCGATCCTGTTCTTTAGGTTTAGTGCAGCATGAAAATAGGACATCTCATCTAGGACGGATTTTGAGCATGTACCGTGTTTGTTATACTCGTGGAGCCAGGCCAGAATTTCCTTCCAATCTCTGGGCATGTAAAAGATGGCCACTCCTTTTCTAGCATGCTCTCTATGGGTTTAAGCTGCAGAGAATAATGCATGACATTATTCTTATTGATTGGTCCAACCCGACAATGTTCATAGTTTACTTGCATCTTATTGATTGGTTACATAACGCTAGCAAATGCACAATTTTGACTATTTATATATCATTATATCCATATTAAGGAAATTCTTTTGTTTTGATATTTTGGTAGCTTACATTATTAATCCCATACATTAAGATTGATGTCTCTCATAATGTATACTATATAGCTGTTAAAGGAATATGTTTTATACTCTATCAATAGCTAACATAATGAATCATTCAAAAGAGATATACGAGGCTATTCAATCTAGTTGGACAGAGGGCCATATAACTAATTGTATGTGATCGAAGAGATTAACCAACTGATATATGAAAATCATAGGCTGTTTCTTATGTGGCATATCGAGTAACTCTGACCTACCAGTAACCCCTAAGCTAGTAACCCTTGAATAAGTAACCCCGACCACACGATGTAGCCACACGTACAAACGTGTTGTTAAAGTTAAGGTTTGAACAATATAGATAGAAGTTAGTTAGAAAGGGATAAAGGTAAAAGACTATGAATTTGTTAAATTTAAAAACTAATATAGGATACCAAATATTCATACTAATCCAAGTAAGACTTCAAGAGTATGTACTATGCATGAACACAAAACTGCGCGCTCCTAATACGTACCGGAGCTACGTCGAAACGTTCTCCAGGACAATTTTCGAGGGCAGTACCATCTTCAGTATAAGGCCAAAGTCCATAGATTGTAAAATTTGGTGTAGGCTTTCCTGCTGATGGGTCGCAACATATTGTCCCTTGTGGGTTACAGTACGATGGTAACCACTGCATTTCAAGGATTCTAGATAAAACTTTATTCAAATTCACAAACATTAGGCTGCATTAGTAAAAAAAATTAAGCTAATGTGACTATGTGAGCTCAACTACCTGTTGGATGAAATAGAAAGCGCGGAATTCAGAAGAAGTTGGCTCATCACCTAGAGCTATGACGGCGAAATTGAGGAGCACCACAAGCTTAGAGATGAATATTAAGCACCCCCATTTCGTCATTTTTTCTTTGTAACGGAAGATTGATTTTTACAAGGTTATACTTAGCTTTAACGTGAGTTAACACACCCCTGACAATTCTTATTATAACAGAGTGAGGGATAACTCAAGTGGTTAGAGCTTCTCTTCCGATTCCAAGAAATGTTGGGATCGATTCTTATTATCACCCGTCCTTATGGCTCTCTAAACACATAAGAAAAAAATCAATTCTTATTATAAGAAATCCTTGAATCGGAGGATAATGGAGCTTACTATAAGGGAAGTATATTTTTTAATTGGTGAAATTAGATGATGATTTTTAGAAGCAACCACTTGTCCCAATCAATTAATATGTCACGGGATGTAAAGAACAAAGAAATGGTGAAAAGAATAATATCGTCCACAAGTGGTTCATACTCTATTGCTTTCTTTCTTCTAAAATGTCATCTTGCAAGATCTTGTGTATGTTATGTTGACGACGACATCTTGTACTTACATAGTAATAAAAATTCGACCCGATTAGGTCATTTTATATAGCCGATTGATGGACTAAAAATTATATGGTGTTCGCTCTATAAAAGTTTACTTGTATAAAATAAATTATGACTTATTTTTCTTTTATACAAGTAAAGCATAAGAAGCATGACAAAATACAACCTATCTATACTCAGCATAACAAAGCACGCTAAATTTAGTGAGATTTGATTTATGTATGCAAGTCCAACACTAATCGACACGTTGGCATGTGGGCTCACTTAATTGGGTTGTGCATGGATTAACCTTTTGAAAATTTCAATTTGACATGGAGCTTGTGGATTGGGCCTAGAAAACCCCAAATGACATGGACTCAGTATGAGGCCCAAGGTCCGGTTTGTCACACCCCACAGGCCCACTAGGGCCACTACCATCTTTAGTCACAACTCAGAAAAGGCACAAGTAGTGGTTTGTTCATGTGGAGTTCACATTTCGTGATTAACTTTTTCTATTGATTAAGCTTTTAATTATTTGTATGAATATATATTTCTTATTTTTAGGGGATTATTTGTGTGAATATACAATGAATATAAGTATATAACTAATCATATGATACTTTTGTATTTGCTAGAGGCCTAACGGCCAATTTTGTAATTGTCGATAAATATATAGTGGTAAACATATTGATTTTATACATGTTAGTTTACAAAAAAATGTGATGCTATACCTTTAGCTCAAATACCTTATTTAATTCACAAATTTTCATTATCATTCATTACTATTTTAATGATGGTAATATCAAACATGCTATAAATCCTCTAGTTATACCAATATTAGCTTTTTGGTTGTGGTAAATAAACAAATGACTATATAGAAGGGCAAACAGATAATATATTAAATATTCGGTAGAGTACGTACTTTTGCAATTTGACAAGAATGAAAGTCAATGTATACGTCGAATACTTTGTATTGTTTAAAACTTAATTCAACGTCAATAAAGACCCTTACTACCCGGGGATCTTAACATGAATACCCTCTTGAAAGTAATCTAATAAATGGGCTTACAAAGAATATATCTAGGATTATTAATGTAGACATAAAAAGTGCAAACTAATTAATTATAAGAGGGAAACTTAATGGTAGAAGAACAACCTCCTTGATTATTAGGAGTACTAGAGCAATTGATAAGTTTCACACCACTTTTATCCACACAATGTATAACTTGCCAAATCTGGCTGTTTCCTTGAGCATCATGGTTACAGAAAATTGAAGGGCGAAATCCGGTGGCTCGAGTGATGGCCGTGTTTATGCTGTCTAGAGAGTAAAATTGGTTGTTGGGTTGTATCTTGGCTTTTGCGAGGGCTTGGAAGATGTTGATCTTGTTCTTGAGGTTTAGAGCTGTGTGAAAGTATGACATCTCGTCTAGGACGGATTTTGAGCATGTTCCGTGCTTGTTCCACTCATGGAGCCAGAATTTCCTCCCAATTTGAGGGCATGTAAAAGAGGGCCATTCAGTTTGTAGCATTTTCTCTATAGGTTTAAGCTGCATTCAATTATTGGATATGTTCATCAATTGGCATTAATATCTAAAAATAAGGTTATGGAGTGAACATGACCTTAATAATGTCTCTAATTATCTATTAATTCATAGTAAAAAGTATGAAATTTGATGTATTAAAAATATACGGTTAGATAAATCTAAAACTACCTCATATACATACATTTGTCTCTACATGTTAGAGAGTACTATTGAAAAACAAGATGGTTAAATTAAACATGTGATGAATAGAATAAAAGTCAAATTATTGCATATAATTCGAATATCACCTTATGGTGATGAGATGCTAATTAATTCCCTTAAGTTTTAATTTATTCCTTCAAAAAAATCTTTAATTACCTATTAAGTAGATAAACCATTTAATGTTATAATTACCAATTATTGTTGATTCTTAGAATCAAACAAAAATCATTCTACCAATATTATTTATTTATTTTTTTTTCATGCATTTAAGATTAAACCATAAAAATATGTCCTAGGTGAGACAATCTTGCAAATCGCATCACAATAACTTATTTTAATTTGAAACAAATTTGACTCTTTCTATATATGGTTAAGTCAAAATCTAATTCTTACAATAAACTTGGTCGTCAAATACACACATGGAAGCAAATAATTGTTCACTCGTAACAAGTCGTACTATATGTACTCATATTACTTACCGGAGCAACATCAAAAGTAGAACCGGGACAATTTTGAAAGGAACTACCATCATTTTTGTAAGGCCATAGCCCATAGATTGCAAAATTTGCTTTAGGTTTTCCAGTTGGTGGGTAACAACATGGCGTCCCTTTTTGATTACAGTATGAGGGTAACCACTGCATACAAATATAATTACATAAGAGATTTTAATTAAAAATAAAATAAAATTCTATAATTCGAATGCACAATAGAGATTATAATTTTTTGTGAAGGACAAAAAAAAAAATAATAATAATAATAATAATTCACCTGTTGTATATAGTAGAATGCTTGAAAATCATTAGGATCATTTGCAAGAGTCGTTACTGCAAAATTGAGGAGAAGCACAAGTTTAGAGATGAATATTAAGCTCCCCAATTTCGCCATTTTTGATCGCTTGTTTTCTTAATGGCTAGGTTTACAAAATGTGGTTATGCTTATACATTATGAAAAGAATCCGTACGTATCACCATTATATAGAACATATCAAAGAGGATACCCCCCACCACAAAAAAGATTATAGAAAAAACCAATCTTTGTTAATCAACATTAATTTGGAAATACTATTAAAATATATTTATCATTGGGTTATATGGAAAATATAATGATGAAGTAATAATACCCAAAAGTCAACTCAATTATATGGATGGTGTTTCATCAAAAAAGAATTATATGAATGTGGTTACTCCCTCTATTTCTTTTTATATTCCTACCTTCTATTTTTTTTTAAAAATATATATATATATTTTATATATAGTAGTATATTACTACTTTTACTTTATTATAATATATTTTGTACTTCATATACGAGTTAAATACAAAAAGACGATTAATACCAATGTCTATAGATAACTTTCTCTTTTATCAAAAATTTAACTAATTCATTTAGGAGAAAACAATACAGATTATATAATCATAATGGCCAAAAAAGTCTCGGATCAAGAAAAGTAAATTTTTAACATTTTAAATACAAATTAGGTATATTTTGAATACTTGTACTTTTCATTTTTGAGACTCTACCAACATCATTAAGATCATGTCTCTTCACCTTAAAAAAATGATATTCAGTAAAAATAATTTCACTTTAGTAGCTAGAAATAATTTTAGTTTAGTAAAAATCATTAACTTCAAATAACAAGTATTAGGCCATGTTCACTTCATATTATTTTTGTTAACGCAAATTACTCTTATTTTTAATGAACTTAAATGAAATTAAATTTACTGAATTGAAATCACTTTTGCTGAACTGAAATTAATTTTATTGATTCTCTTTTATATTTCTTCTACTTTAAATTTGTTCAAAAAATTTTATCATACCTCGAGTCTATTTAGGTATGATAATTTATATATATATTTTTTTTTTAAATTTAGGTATGATAATTTTTTTGAACTAATTTAGGTAAGATAATTGATAACAAATAATTAAAGTAGACTATGGCCCTGTTCTCTTCACCTTAAAAAAATAATATTAAGTAAAAATAAGTTCAGTTCAGTAAAATTAATTTCAGTTCAGTAAAAATAAGTTCAGTTCAATAAAATTCAGATTTCTTAAAGAAGAATTATAATAGAAAATCAGTAAAAATATTTTAAGTTCAGTAAAAATAATTTCAGTTCAGTAAAAATAAGTTCAGTTCAGTAAATATAAGTTCAGTTCAGTAAAAATAATTTTAGTTCAGCAAAATTAAGGTGAATCAAACAGGGCCTATTTTTGTCTATTGTTTCTACGTATTAGACATGATATCTTGAAAGTTTTAGCCTAGTCAATGCCACGTTTTAGCCTATTCACACTTTATATATATATGAATCAAATTCATTAATATAGATATAAATTTCAAAAAATATTTACAAAAGCAATCAAAACTTGCAAATAAAAAATAAATTGGAACAAATAATATTTTTAATGGGTAATATCAAAGGATCGGAAAACTTGCAAATATGTATAATTAAGAATTAAGAGTCGTAATACATCGAACCTACATAATAATTATTTAGGCACATAATGTAGTGACATTGTGGCAAGTTGAGTGATTGATAATTTCATAATTTCATGTGATGAGTAGCAATTAGACGTGTTGAGTGATATGAAATTAGCCTTTATATTCGGTGCAAAAGAACAATTAACTTGTCAATCGTTTAATATTAGGATTATTAGCTGGTCAGTATATTAATAACTAGCTAATTAGACCTTATTAATTTTGACTTTTAAATGATTGTATACTAATAATATGCTGGCAAATTCCAATAATGTTTTACGATTTGGAAAATAATTTTATTAACTTAGGACCTGTTCACATTTACTGAACTGAGCTGAACTGAATTGAACTAGAATGAGCTGAAATAATGATGATTTTATGAGAGAAGGAAATTAGGAACTGAACTGAAATAAACTGATTGGAGCTGAAGTGAACAAACTCTTAGTAATAATAAATGGTGAAACATGCAAATTACATCTAAGACTTTTTACTCGAGTGTTCTTATTATACAAGTATTAATATCTAAGATTTATTTAAGAACACTTGATTAAAAATAAATTTAGATTGCACAACCTAAAACAAAAGAACACTTGGAATTAAAATAATATACCAAGTGCACATTGATAACTATACAACAATCTAAGACTTTTTTAAAAGTCAATAAAAATAGATCATGGTTAAAATAAAAAAACAAATAAAAAAAAGAAGCACGCCCTCATCAATTCAAGATCCCCCCCCCTCCTTTTTTTTTATTTTTTATTTTTTACAACATCAGAATCCTAAATTAATTATAATCTAAATCACACATTAGAACATTAGGGGTAGAACCATATAACAACTTTCTATTCGGAAGTCATACAATTTCGATGGGATAAGACGCTTTCCTTTTAAGTTGAACTTCTTAGAGAATGACTTTTCCATCTAGCTCTGGAAGGACGAGAGGAAACCAAAAACATCAAATTTTGGGAAGTGAAATTGTTGGGGATTGCAGCAGACTTTAACGTGGAGCAGATTGGAGCAACTGGAAGGGGCACCGACGTACTTTCACATGATGACACTTGATCACCCATACCTATATTCGCATCTTCTTGCGCCAAATTGGAGTAAATTTTGTCCTTAAAATACGCAAAAATTTCCAAGCACTACTCTTTAACAGATTCCATCCAATTTGTCGTTTGTGAAACCCACATTTTCATTCATTTATTTCTTTTCCTTCAACCACAGCGTATAACCATGAGCCCTAAATTTCGAAGGTGTTGAAGACAGAACAGTTACTCATTAAATTCTAATATGCGATTTTATAAGTAATATTTATAAATCATTTGCAACATATTATTTTTTGAAATTTATATGAAAAGTTATATATATGCCAACTTTTGTATATATATTATCAAGATATGTTGCACATTTATGATTTGATTTGTATTCAGTTATGACTCATGTTGCATAGCGTTGAAGATACATTTTAGTCATATTAATTTAATAGATATGATATTTGGCAAGATAGTGCAGTTGACACTAATAGTGTAATAGTATATAAATACCATAGTGTATGAATCTGAATTATTATAATAGATGGCCTATGATGTAAGAAAAAATTATGATGGTACAAATGAGAAATGTATTCAGATATCATAGTAAAATAGCATGCGGAATGTAAGTTAAAGGAATTTTATGATACCGGTACATAATAGAACCGATGAATAATATGCATATGTATAATGGAATGGACTAATAAATAAGGGATCTGAAATATATGTACATTTTGATGTTGACATAATGATAATGATCATAAGTTTATCATGGACTCGAAGTCCAATGACACTGTATAGTGTCTTGCATCATTTTGAGTCTTATATTCATGTGCATGTGAGTCATAGGTTAATTGTTTATTGCATATGTAGGAAGTTAGATGCATTACTCATTGTATAATTTGTTTAATATGTTATCATGTTTTATATATCTCATATTGCATGGATTAATTTCTTATTACAATGGTTGTGGTGTATGTGAATTTTCATTCAAAGTATAGTAAGACATATTTACAACTTGATGAAAAATTAGAAAGAGATATTTATATTCCAATTGGCTTACAATTGTAATGAAATTATTGATGACACCTATTTAATTGCACGTTATGAATCATGTAAGAAGAGTTCCTGAAGAACTTATATACGACGTATTTATATATCTAGCCCTACAAAGTTTATCTCTAGAATAATGCAATTACTATCAAACTCTTGAAAAGTCTATGTAAATACATCAGTGACATCTCAACCTGAAGTTTGAGCATATAAGAGTTAGTGAGATTTACAATTTGTATTCGCAGAAAAATTATCGTGTAGTTAATTACGAAACTTCTAAAGAAACGGGATACTTATGCGTGAGACTGTTTTCTTATGGTCCAGAAGAACCACGATCAATGTATATAAATACATATGTTATAATTCATATGAAAATGAAGAATGACATTAATAATGTCAAGTTTTGTGATCAAATGATTATTAATAAATGTTTGATCAAATAATGGTCATCAATTTCTATTATTAACAACTTCCAGAAGAAATCATAATCGCATAAGTTTAATTTATAAATCAACTATTAAATAGAGATTTGAAATAATGATATTAGAGATAAACACATGTATGGTGAAATGAAGACACTTCACATGTTCACGTGAAGAATTGAAGATACAACTTCAGCTTAGGAGAGTCGAAGATCAACAAGTGATATTTTACCAACTTATTAGAAGATATCCAACATATTGGATTCATTGTTGCGACACTAGAAGATCTCAAGTTATGTATTCATCAGGGGGAGATAATACGCGCTGCACTCTTTTTCCCTTGACCATGGTTTTGTCCCAAATTGGGTTTTCCTGGTAAGGTTTTTAATGAGGCAGCATCTCGAGCGTATTACGAAGAATGATGTACTCTTTTTCCTTCACTATGTTTTTATCCCACAGGGTTTTTCGTAGTAAGGTTTTAATGAGGCACAATCTTCGATAATGGACATCCAAGGGGGAGTGTTATGAAATATTTGTGGATATCTATTATCCTCCTTTGTATGATTCCGGAACAATCTAGATCTAGGGTTTATAGTCTTATCCATTCAAACCCTAATAGTATTTATATATACCCCATTATATGGCATAGAAATACACTGATATATTCTCTATCAATCTCTCTTATATTTCTCTCTATTTTATAACATACACGTATATGTTTGTATCAATTTTAAAAAGCATAGAATGATATGTAACATTGTAAAATATAGTACAAAGTAAGTTTAATGCATAAGTTGGGTAAATCTTAAATAAGTGATACTAAGTGTAGGAATCCAAGTGTCTAAGCCGCTAACCCACTTGTACAATAATTTATAGAGTTCATTCATGGTTTTGCATAAATCGTTGTTTTGATAATTCTCAGGAATTTGCACACATTTAGATCTCTCTATTAAGCTATTCTCCTTACTAATCTCCTTCATCTTTAGTTAATTTGATGCATAATAAGAGAATTCTAGTAGTTCTTTTAGAATTGCATTAGTATTATTGTATTAGTATCTTGTCTCGTGCTTCCCTTCACGTTTCTTGACAATTATGTTTCCCATGACAAGCCCATACACATCAAGCCAGTAGAAGCTTACTCATGCCTTGACCCAAGCCCAATGAAAAAGGATGCCTTGACCCAGTAGAAGCCAGAAATCGTTATTTTGACAATTCTCTCCTTTTTAT